TTCCAGGTTGAAAAGCAATTTCCACTTATTGATAACATTTATGAGTGCTATTAGTGTTTTCACTGAAATGCAGTCTGTACTAGGGGTTGCACCGACTAGTCGAATTCAATGCTCTGCCATGACGCTTTAAGCTTGACGTCGACTAGTCGCTGGTCCTATAGAGGGCGCAACAGGATAAGAAATCTTTGAAGGACTTCCACATTTACGCTCCGTTTGCAAACAATTCAAATGACAAATAAATGCATACGCTGAAAGCGCTCCACAAGACGTGTGATTATATTACTGGATGCTCGAAATTGAACGGGAGAATGCACGTTTTAAACCGCTTATTGTACAGGTACGTTAATCGCCGTTCTAATCTAATGCGCTGCTGCACTGTAACACACACAGGCTACAGATAGTAGCGTGTACATCACACGCACATAATCATTCAGCACGGAAATGTATCGTCAACACTGTTCTGATTTCTCAATAAAATAGCTTAGAAACTGAAAAGTTCAAGCATATATTTAGGTGTTTGTCACCGCTCCAGACTTATTTGTTCATTAATGACGTCATCAGTGACTAGTCGACTTCAACTCGACTTTCATCACATAAAAGTCGACTTCAAAAAATCAGAAGTGGTTCAACCCCTAGTCTGTACATATCTGTTCACATCTAAAAAAAAAAAAGTGTTCTGGGGTTTCATGGTCCTTTAAAAATAGTTTTTCTGTTGGTAGTTTTTAAAAAATGTTTTATTACAAGTAGTTAAACCAATAGTGACTAGCGTTTTATTAAGTCTTAACTATTACATTTTGTATCTATGATGTTAAATACTTATTTGCAGTGGTGTAATGTAACAAAGTAATAATTCGTTACAGTACTTAAGTATATTTTGGGAGTATCTGTACTTGAGTTTTTATATTTCAGCCAACTTTTACTCCACTACATTTCTTAATTAAAATGTATACTTTTACTCCGATACATTTCCCCCAAGCATATTCGTTACTTAATATAAAATAGTCAGAAGAACACGGACTGCAGGAAAGCAGGTTTGATGAATCAGTGGTCTGCCGCCTGCAAGGTAAGACTCCTAAAAACACCTTTGCTCATGTGCAAACAAGCGCGCGCACAACCGCGGATGATTTTCCACTCAAGTCGAGTCTGGGGTGTGCGATACAGCATCGTCTGCGATAATACGGTAAGTGTTGTTGTAATGATGTGCGATCTGACATTTTCAATTGTATTGCCAAATCACACACAGAGTGCATGCACGTTGATTTATTAGTTTATTAAAACTCAAAATTCCAGGCGTTCTAAGGTGTGCGATACAGCATCGTCTGCGATAATACGGTAAGTGTTGTTGTAATGATGTGCGATCTGACATTTTCAATTGTATTGCCAAATCACACACAGAGTGCATGCACGTTGATTTATTAGTTTATTAAAACTCAAAATTCCAGGCGTTCTAAAATGTAGACGGCAAAAATGCTTCTGTATGATTTTTATATTTATATAATTTAATATAGTTAACTTAATCTATATCACACAAAGAGTACTGTTTTTCTGCAGATATCAGCATGAACATATTTAATAATCATTTTATACAAGTTCAGTAAAGCAATGTGACATATTTTAGACATAATATTGCTTGTTTTTGCTCAATTTTGCTAAAGAATATAGTTCCAAACAAAGATCATAGCACTGTTTTGCGTCTCTGAGTAAAGGACAGTGATTACTTATAGGGATGGGCATATCGATCCTAAGTATCGATATATCGATACTGACGCGAGTATCGAAAGTATCGATTATATATATATATATTATATATATATTATATACATTTTTTAAATGCTCATAATCAGATTAGAGTTGCTATGGATTACATGATTACAAATTATTCACACAATGGCAGAAAATTATTCCTAATTTATTGATTTTGTTGATTGATTTTGTTTAGCTTTTGAATATTCACAATATAGATTGGCCTTATAAATGTCATGTGAAGTAATTTGCGATCGATGTTTCTGAATTTGGAGGCTAGTCAATTAAACCATGTATGAGATGAATGATTCTGAAGGTTACTAAACACTGCCGATGTATTTAAAACCTGGGAAATTTTGACCACATCTTTGCAGTTTTTGTTTATTAATGTTTGTTCATTTTTTGGCTCTCTTAATTTTTCAACCCACTTTGAACTAAAAAATGTACTTGAGGTCCCCCTCAAATTTAAAGTTAATATTACTTTACTGGCTACAAATTTGATAATGTAATTTGTAATCAGTAACAGACTACAATTTGTAAGTAATCCATCTATATGTTTAAACTTGCGTATGCAGAGTATCATCATTTATGCATAAGTGTTTGATTATTACCTAGCCTTATTATTTGGAAATAGAAACTGGATCTGTGTTTCTGAAAGCGTTGCAGTACAAGGACTACAAATAGTCACCTCATCACTCACTGGACACGTCAATTCTCTTTTTAAACTGATGGATGTCACTTGTCAATTCAGATTTCCGTCGTGTAACCCATTAATGTCAAATGCCAGAGGTCATTACCCCCCAGCTGTGGCCAGACTTTTTATTATCATCTTGAGAACTGCAGGCTAATACTATCTGACATGGCAGTGAATACTGTTTGCAAATTAACAAGCCACAGGAAGAGGCTTGATTGGCCAAATATGTCTGAGCCATAAACTGCTTTGATTATTAATGCCACAGTGTGGCTGATCTCTCACAGATCCATTTGAGCGGCCCGTGCAACTAACATGTGCTTCAACTTGGATGAGTGCAAGTGAATTGTCAAAGGGTTAATTGTGGATTTGGCATCGGTTTCTGAGGTGGAGCTTGAGTCAGCACTGGCTTTAGAGCGTTTTCTTTCATGTGGAGCTTTTGTAGTTTGGTACTTGTGTGTTGACTGGAAAAATCAATGTTTGCGATGCGTCCATTCATACAGCGAGAGAAGCGTTTCAGGGGATGTCATTAGGTAAGAGAACTAATTGGTGATTGGCCGTTAATTCCTTGATGGTTGTCTTAGCCATGTTGTCAATGATTCCCAAACAGGGCTGCACAAATGTAAGGATATATAAACAGGTTATAGGGGACACTTAGAAAGTAAATGTGTGGATAACATTCATAGATGGATCAATTTGATATGTAGTGAATTTTATCACCCACTGTAATGATTAATATATATATATACTGTATAATAGGTTACAGATTACAAGTTACCCTATTTAAAATATAATAAGTAATGTAACTAATCACATCTGAATACTTTTTGATTACTTTTCTAAAATTCTAATGAATATTTTCAACTGTTAATCATTTTCAAACATTTAAAGCAGGCAGGTATAACCTTGCAGTAGTACTCAACAGTAATTACTGTCAGACTTTCAACATGCTTCATCGCTTGAATTAAGATTATAATTTAATTTTAAAGCACAGCCACCACAAAATTAAACTTTAACACCTCTTTTTACTTTGAGATCATTCTGAGGTTAAATACAGATTTAAAATCATAACAAGATATAGTTTAATAGCTATGATATTGTTGAGATCAAATCTTCAATTCGTCTTAAAAAATAATTCTTAAACATAAACCCAAATATATGAAATAAAACAGTTATCAAATAAGCATGTGTCCTATTCTGTGAACTCCTGAAACATTGGTGTCTCATATTTTAAAGCAGTCAATGCAATTTGGGAAAGAAATCAATTAAATCTGTGTATTCGTGCGTGTGTGAAAATATTCAGATGTAACCCTCTGTGTAATCGTTAACATTTTCATAAGTAACTAATTTAATTATTATATTTTCTCAGTAACTGTAACAGATTAGTTACATTTATTTTGTAATTAAATTATGGGTCCCACTTTATGTTGTGTCCCTAATACCTGTGTACTTACATAGTAACTAAATGTGTACGTAGTATGTAACCACAGTGTAAGTACACATTGGTACATAGTATCTCCAGCTGTAATATTTCT